GGGCTCCTTCCACGGGAATGGCATGGACGCCCTGGTTGGCGCAGGCATCATTGATGTGCCCAGCGCACTCTGACGCCAGTCGTGCAGCCGCAACCTGGTCTTCCGCGGATCCGTAATGGAAGACGAGTGAACAGTGTCGCTGTTCAATCCAGCTGCCCTCAGCACGCTCCTGGTAGTAATCCAGAATCTGTAGCACCGCTGTCTTCCAGGCATCTGTCTGAGTTTTGTCAGTCAGCTTGAGCCAGGTTTCCGAGTTTGGCTCCCGCACGAAACAACCATTCTCTGCAATCAAGCCCAGACCAGTGACCAGGCGGAACAGGCGCTCCATCTCTTCTGGCATACGGGCACTCATCACGTACACCACGTTGCGGGGATCGTCCGTCAGCTCTGCTAGCGTAGTGATGGCTCGCTGGGGCGTGGTCACGATTATGCTCTTGGGAGACCCCCAAGATGCAAGGGTGCCCTCGTAATCCACAATTATCAATCGACGATTCGACTTCTGATACATCTCCTCCAGTTTATTCATCTGTAAGCGTGGCACGGCCATTATTTCACGCGACGATTGCTCGTTCCAAACACGGTTCAGGGTCTCACTGAACGACTTGACCCAGTTGGCTGTCGAGTTCTGCAGCACTGCCTGGTGCATTTGCATCCAAACCTCCTTCCGCTCTGTTTCACTCCGCGACAGCGCCGTGTGAATCGCCTCTGCGCATTGCCGGTAATCCCAAGGATTGACCAGGAGCGCATGGTTACCAAACACAGACGCGCTACCAGTGAACTCACTCAAAATGAGCGATCCATATTTCTTGTTGTTGCCCCATTTACCGTCCTGGCAGTAGACGAACTCATGACTAGTCAAGTTCATACCCTCACGTAAGCTTGTGATGATCAGCGCGTCGGCGAGAGAAATCAGCGCCAAATACTGAGGGAAGGCCAGGTCCTGTTTCAAGAAGACCAGTGGCTGGTGGGCCAGCGTGGAATGCGTTGAGTTAATCCGCATCGCGATGTCAGAAATGGTGGCCTCGAGCTCGGGCTGCTCGGTCGTGCTCGTCGCTACTTGAATCAAAACAACCTGAATCATCGTTAGGAGACCATTATCACATGCTAAGGGACAAGCCAAGGGACGAGGAAGAGATTGGCTTATAGCCATACCTGATCACGCCATTCGGGATAAGTGTTAAGGAAAAGCTCATAACTCAACAGCTTTTGTCGGATGCCTCGAACCTGGTCGATCTTGTCACGCGAAACAATGAGACGCTTGCCCTCGTAGCGCTCTGCGATGGTTTTGATCCACCTCTCCACATCGGCTGCCCTGCGCCGCTGATCCCAGGAGGTTGGGTCAATGCCAATGGAAAATTTGCCTACATTGACGAATCGATCTTCGAGTTGAAGCCCTTCATTAGTGGCCTCTACGCAGAGGATGCGGCTACATGTCTGAAGAAAATGACGGCAGTATTCGTCCGTCTGGAATCCGATCAGGTTCGCACCGAGGATGCCCTCTAGGAGCTCCTTGCGAGGGGCCAAACAACGGAACACCTCGGAAGATGGGAAGGCAATATGCAGGAAGAAGCCAATCTGTGCGTCAGGCAGCAGCTTCCGCAGCATGGCCGGAACAAGAAGCAGGTGGTAGTCCTGAATCCATATGGAGTCGCCACGCTTCCACTTCTGGGCGATTTTCTCAGCAAAGGCCTGGTTTGTTTTGACATAGTAGATCCAAGAGTGATCTTCATATGCCTTGCTCTTGGGATTATCAGGGATTTGGTAATGGAATACCGGCCAGAGGATTGTTTTGCAAAAGTGTGTGTAGTGACCGTCAAAGTCGCCGTCGCTGACATAAACCGTCATGGACCCATACTCTTCCTCGAGCTTCCGAGCAATGGAATCCTTCGTTGATTGGGGCAGTGCATCAGTAGGCATGCCCAGCGTGCCCACCCAGACCTTGTCCTCCAACTGGCCAGCATCCGTGGCGGATCGCACAGCGTTGCGCAGTCCTCCATTGCCCTGCTCCGCAGTCTGAATGGTCCATTCAGCGTCGGAGAACGAGCTCTTCCGGCTCTGAGGCCGACGGTGATCGGTAGTAGACGAGGTCGGCGGCTGCGGGGTTGTACGTATTTTCTCCTTGGCAGGTTCCGTCCCTGGCGCTATGGGTTCTTGGTGCTTAAGGATAGAAGGCGATGCCGGGAAAGCTGCGCGTGGTCGAGGCTGGTTTAAAGAAAGGGTTGAGCCCCATGCAGGTGAGTGAGCTTCGCTTTCAGTCAAAAGGTTTGCTTCCCGATCAGTACTGGGGAACGGGTAGCCGGAGTGCTCCAGTTCAGCCTTGGCGATGTCTGCCGCAAAGAATTGTTCATGTTCTGATGCAGGCCCAGGGGTGATTCCAGGCTTGACATTGGCATTGTTTCTCTCAAACAAGCTCACAGCCGCACTCGGAGTGGCAGCAACGCTTTGCACAGGGTTGGTCGGCGGTGGGCTAGTCGTTGTGTTGGCTTCATGATTGTGCGGGTCGTTCACATGGAAGTCTACCGTATAAGGAAGAAACCTGGAGTTCCATGGATTGTTAATCCGAGCCTACACTCGAAATTTTTGCCTGATGGAGAGGAAGGCCTAGTTGACGACATACAATGAAGCAATGTAGATAGTCATGGTGACAGAGAAGGGGGGGAAGTCCCCGGTGCGGCCTGGTGGGGATGAAGCGGGGAGAAGCAAGGAGAAAAAAGCTAAATGGTCATAAAATGGTAGCAAGTAATGGAGGACCAGTGATTGGGATGGAGGTCCGATGAAGGTAAGCCAGAGCAAGGTCTGGAATAAGAAGAAAGAGGGAAATGTAGGACGAAGTGTGAAAGAATGAACAGAGACTCGAGATGGAAAGTAAAAGGAAAAGGATGAGGAGGAAGAAGAAGAAGAGGAAGAGGAAGAGGAAGAGGACGAGAAAGAGAAGCCAGGTTTGGGTTTCAAGTTCTCATGGCTACGTCATGTGAAGTAAATTATCAGGTAGAATTAGAAGAATAAAAAAGAGTTCATGTCACCTTTATGTAATAACTTAATAGTAGTTCTTTTTATCAAAGGAGTGGGTCTAGAGTTCTAGACAACCTTGGAAAGAGCTGGTAGTGTATGGAGTACTGTACTGCGCAATTGAACCCAAGAAGTGAAAGATAGGCAAACAACCGATTCAATTCCAGGCTGAATCTTAGCTGTCACTGTTTAGGTGCACAACTTTTCAATGATTACTTACCGTTTACACATCCATGGTGGTCGTTTGACTGTACTGTATGTACTTGGTTAACCTAAACTACTCATGTATATGTGCTGTCACGGGTACTGTACAATACATACGCATACCTTATCCGGTATTTTGAGGAATTACGTTGTCTATCACGTGATAGCAGATAATCGCTAATCGCTGGTCCCTGCATCAGCCTTAGGCCCCCAACTTTCTTTAGTTCTGCTGGCTGCTCTTCTTTTTTTCTTGTTCTATACTTCGCACTTCCATATCATACCACTCACCCGGCCATGCCCTTGCGGATCACCTCTGCCCCTGTCGCTGGAATCAAGAAGAACAAAAAGTCAAACTCTGTCAGGCCGCGCGTCTCTCCTTTCGCCGCACATCCGCGTCGCAAAGCCACGGCCTCATCGACAGATGCTCTCAATCCCAACTTCACAGATGATTATGATCAAGGCTTCTTACCCGACTTGGGGCTGTCGCGGTACATCTCAGAGACTGCCCCCGCGACCGATGTGATGCAGGCGATTCACTCCATCCGAAAAACTATGTTCGAGGATGTCCCTCAGCGGGCAGGGATGAGTAGCACCCGCATTGCCGAAGTGCTGAATCTCCGCCGGTCGATCCCCCCGCTTGCCTCTGTGGCCCACGTACATACGCTACTCGATGCGCCGACCAAAGTCGAAAAAGAAATCATGGAGTTGGTTTGCACGGGCCGCGTACGACGCTTGATCGTGCCAGGAAGAGGCAGTGATGCTGCGGGCCTGGGTGATTGTCTGGTCCTCGCTGAAGAGTGGGATCAGCTGGTGCAAGACAATCCTATTTTGGAGGACTCGTTAAAAGGTACTGGCACTAGCTACTGCCTCTTAAACAAATGATGAAACAGACTTTGCTGACTGTGTCAACTGTCTTTCTCTAGAGAAATTCCGACGAGTCCTAAGTCGCATCGGAAATAACCCTGCCGTTCCTGGTAGCGCCTTCACGGTACCTGAATATATGGCCTTGATTCGCGCCGGGTTTCTTGTTTCCTCTTCGTCCTTAACCCAGGGCGCCTCGGGCGTCACATCACTTCCTGCACTGCCGGCTAGCTCAGCTGTAGCTGCTGCTGCGAGCCGAAAGGGCCCGCATGATGCGGCGAGCGACAATGCCGTGACTGAGCATAACACGTTCTTTCAAACTGCGACCCTTTTTCTTTCCTTACCTAACACGGGACCATATCTTCGTCTACTGGCTGCCAGCCGGTCCCACCTTCTTTCGCTTTTGAATCGGTCGGGTGCGCGGGAGGTGCCATTGTACCTTCTTCGGGACCGATGGGACGGAGCCGTCGAGAATGGTCAGAGCTTTAGCATTGCTAAGAGAATAAGGGGAGAGTTTGCGGGGATTCTACCCGGTCGCACGAAAAAATGGAAGCAATTGTACGGGATGAGCTTCCGTTGGGCTCTTGAGGAAGCCCTTGGAGCCGGGCTTATTGAGCTTTTTGATACGGGCAGTGTTGGCCCGGGAGTGCGCAGTCTTTAATGGAGGACTGATGACATATTTGATTTTTGATACCCTTTGATGTTTATACGGTGTACTACGAGTAGGTGAGATGTCTCCTTATTATGAGACCTATGACAATATATAAAAACCGCGCGAATATGTATGTATGTATCTCTCTTTCCCTCTCTTCTCCCACCCCCGCCTCCCTCCGCGGGATGGTTGGTATGTAACCAGACAGCGACCGACACATATGTATATAGCAAGGGGAAGGTCCCCATCCAAGTTTTCAAAGCTATCTGTTTTTCGTTCTTGTTTCCTCTCTCATCTTCCCAAAATTACATTCTCTTTTCTCACTCCCCTATCGCTCATCGAAGTTCCATTTTCATCATGTCACCACCATCATACATTCGTCTCCAGCCATTCTCCTTTTCCGTCTTACCGGACCATCCCTCTCTCACTCAGATGCCAACTCGACCACCCCTGCGCGACTTCCTCCACGACATTCTGACCGAAGCTCAGTCCTTCGTGTCTGCCATTCCGACCACTTTCCATCCTACCCATAAACCACGCCGTTCACCCCCAGCTGCAGCCCCTGTCCTCCTCTCGACATGCTCGCTCCCCAAAGCCTGCTCTGGCACGGGTCCCAAGAAGACAAAGAAGCAGCAGCAGCAGCAGCAGCGCGGCTCTGAGTTTTGGATTTGTCGCACAAGCGTGCACGAGAACGCAGCCCGCGATGGCACCGCATCTTCAACGGAGTTTCGTGCCGGGCTGAGGGAGAACCATTCCGCACATGAGATGGAGTACACGCCTAGCGTAACCGCCGTCGAGACATTGCTGGAGTGGCCATCCCAGTCAGTGATCGAAGGTGGGTGGCAGCGGGTGGAAACCCATGGTGAGTTAAGTCGTCCCCCCTGTTGTTGCAACCTGCCTGGGTGCCAACGACGCCTCTCACAGCGATCGCCTCGCCTGAATTTGCTTACTGAAATTGCGACCAGTAAATGTTATTACCCATACCTTCCATCCGAGGACTCTCATCGCCCCGCGCACCTTCATCGTTCTTGTCGTCTCCGCGGACCAACCGAGCGATCGGAGCGGCTTTGCTACCGTGCAAATCCCACTGTCTTCGACTGTGGAGCCGGCCGAGACCCTGTCAGACTTTCTCTTTGCTGTCACGGCCGCCCAGCCCCCAAATGCGATACTTGCCGCGTACGCGAGTGTCGAACAGGTGCTGTTCACTTCTTCCGAGACGGACACCGACGTTGTCACCTGGACAATGGCCACCACCTCTGATGCTGGCGGTGCCATCCCGAGCTGGGTGCAACGAAGCTGGACTCTGGGCGGAGCCCCAAAGGCTGTAGTGGCGGATGTTGGCTTGTTCATGAAATGGGTAGCCAGCAAAAGGTCATAAAAAGGCAAATATGATCATGCGCAGATCACATTCAGACGGCTGAAGGTTGGGCTGAAGAACTGTATAGGCCTAACGGCACTGATTTATATTGGTCTGATCATATATCTCTACCTTCCAAGCCTCATGGTTGATGATCTGGAGCCAGCAAAAAAAAAGAGAGCCACCGAAACAATCACGACGACCGCTTGAAGAGCCTGACTCACTACTCACAACCCGTGGACTGGTAGGTTGTGGATGCACAAGTAGCATGGTCAAAAGAACCAACGCCCAATAAATAGAAGTCTAGAAGGAGGGCAATTTCCCGCAGTCAGTAGGGTGTAACATGGATGCGGCATCAGGTGTCGCTTGAGGTAAAGTCAAATAGAGTGAACAGTGAATCCATTCAAGGCCAAATCCCGGGATGGCCTGACTATTAGTCCACCCGGTGGCCACGAGCACGGAATGAAGCATACGGCTAACAAATTACTAAGGATACAGGAACGAGGAAAAGCCCGGTGTTGCCGGGGATGCTGATGGCAAGCTGAAAGGCAAATTCGAGGGGAAAAAATGAGACCCACCTGACAGCGGGTCTACACACGGCAATGGGATACTGTTCATTAACGGCGTCCAGGTTTTGAGTTCGGGAAGATGAAGAGAGAAGTAAGAAGAGCATGGGATGAGCATAACAGGATTGGCAGTCGGGCAGGAGATCAAGGTAAATGACTTCCGACACAATTGCCGGGTATTCTGAGGAATATGGGCAGCGTTGAATTCGTGGTCCACAAGAGAAAGGTGGAGGCGAGGACCAGTTTTGGGGTGGGGTCTAAGCACTAGACAAAAGAGACATGACCAGAGAGCAAGAGATGTATAGTAGGCAGCGGGCCGAGGGGATGCAATCTGAAAGAATGGAGAAAATCGTTCAGCGTGGCCCAGCAGTGACACTACCGGACTCTGGCTGAGATAGCGGCACGCTGGGGGTTGCTAATGCATTAACATTGGCTGACGCCAATTGTACCCTTAGCGAAGCAACTTCTGCTTTCAGACCGTTCAACTCCTCATGGACAGAGCGAATATATGCCCAGAGCTTTTCTTCTCTGTCACGACTCTGCTCGAGATAAATGGCTTCATGAGAGCCGGGCAGCTGACTGCCATTGTTCAAAGCTGCTTCCGGTCCTGGTTTCGAGGTCAATGGCCCGCTGTGATTGCTTGAATGACTATGGGAAGGGGTATGTTTGGTGCCAGTCGAGGCAGGCGGAGGCCCAGATCCTTGTGAATGAAGCGCAAACCGGGATTCAGAAGAGCTTAAGCCAGGAGGCGGGGGCAGCTGGGGGGCAGACGATTGAGGAGGGGGAAGGCCCAGCCCTGGAGCCGCTGAGGGGCCAGCCCTGCTGTACGGTTGTTGCCCTTGTTGCTGAAAAGATTGAGAAAGACCAGGCGAATGAGCGCGGTGCAGCTGGGAATTATTCTCCGGGTTGTGACCGAGTTGGTGAGACGATAAAGCATTGGGAGAAAGTGGCTTAGGGCTTTCAGTTATATTGGTGGGGAATACAGACGAGCCCGATGGCTGACCGGAGGGTGGGAACGCGATGTTGGCCGACTGCGAAATCGGCGAGGTCGACGCGCTTGAGCCACCGTGGCTAGGTGGCGGAAAAAGACCCCCTGGAGATGGTCTGCCGGATGCAATAGGGGGATACGTGCTCGGCTGGCGCGACGGGTAACTCGGCGCAGTATTAGCTCGAGAAATCGATTCTGTTGGTAAATCGTGCTTCTTGATACTAGGCATATTGAGCCGCCGTTCTTCTTCCTCATCCATACGCTCCGGTTCAGCATATACAAGCCCATCCATGGTGTCATCCGCCGCCCCGGCAGCTGCAGCGTCGCCGTATTCATCCTCAGGAGCATAGCTTCCCATACTGGCACGACGACCGGCGCAGCCCCCCTGGCCTTTGTTGTGGCGAGCTAACGCGTCCCCGCGAGCAAACCTGCGCCCACATTTGGGACAGATGTGTGGCCGTTCACCGGTGTGTAATTTGGTATGTCTCTTGAGATCATGAAGTCGGCGAAAGCGTGATTGACAGGTCTGACAAACATAAGGCTTCTCCTGGCTATGGGTGAGAAGGTGGCTCTTAAGATTATGATGCCTTGTGAATTCTGTCGAGCAATAAGGGCAACGGTGCTTCTTTGCCGACGGTGACCGCTGGCCTTTGTGAAAGCCAGAATTGGGTAGGCTTAGGCCACGGCGAGGGTCGTTTAAGCTGGCTGTGGGCATTGGGTATGAAAACGACTTATTTCCTGGTTCTTGAGAAAGTCCCTCTCGATGGCGAGGATGTTCTCCATCATGAGAGGCCGAGTCCTCGATTGGACCAGGACTGGCTACTGTTGAGGTAGTCATCAGGGTCGGATTATTTTCGGCTGTGCCGAAGGCATCAGGCGCATTTACCGGGGCTGGATTCGAATCTACCTGCATTTGATCTGAGGACAAAGGTATGCAATCTGGCGCCGAGCTATCCTGCTGCTTTTCGCTGGCGCCGAGTGCCTCCCTCGCGACTTGCGAATTGTGCTGCTCTGATCCCTTCTCCTGTTCGAGTGGTCGGTCCATCGAACCGGAAACTGAACTAGCGGTCGTCATTGGCGGTAATAATTCTCTTGAGCGAGAGACGTTCAATCCGGCGCTGGCGATAGACGTCAGGCTGGAATCAGGCCTCGGTTGTTTGAAGAAGGCGATCGACTCCGACGAGGTCGATAGGATCGGAGCGGACGAGCCGGGCAGTGGGGCAGAGATGGAGACAGGTTCGTTGTTCGATTGCATCAACGCAGCCATGGATAATAATTACTTCCCGCCAGCGTGAGGGGTTTGGCGAGAGTATGAGTTGCTAACTCAGCAAAATTGTTGTCAGTGTGTTCAGGAACCAAACATGGGGAGTGTCAATGACAAGCGACTGGAATTAATGAGAGATACGAAGCGTGATGAAGTATGACACGATGTGCGAAGAGGGCAGGTACTCGATAGAAGAGGGAAGTCCAAGAAATGCATGATGTCCTGCTGGAGGAGGGAGGAGGAGGCGCTGTCGCGTGGGGCGCTCACCTAGGTCGAACCGAGTGTGGCGCAAGCTGACGAGACGTCCAATTCAGCCTTCGCGCAATGTTCTGCTGGACAGTCGAGTCGTACACATTCAACAGCCGAGACCAGGGTCAGGTGTTGCAGCTTGTTAATTTCTCTTTTCTTAAAAAAAGAAAAAAAAAACGAAAAAGGATAATAATCAGATAAAAAGACTGAATGGACTCCCCCGCATGGAAAGGGCCCAGAAGCAGCGAGCGACCTTTACAACCAGAGGATGAAGATGTCTGATTCTAGCGTCCGGATCTGAGCAAGAAGCGGGCCGGGGGATGTTGTTAGTCCATCTGGCGAAAGCCCGTCTGAAGGCCTCGGGGGAAATAGTACGGCTGCAGGGAGAAAGCTAAAACCCGCACTTGTCAAAACAAGAATGTTGACGAACAGTCACAGTCATGCAAAATATATGTCCAAAAAGAAATGTGGTTCAGGCACAAGGTGACACCTGCCCAGTAGCTTAGAAGAAGCGGACCGAACAAGGAGAAAGAAGCAGAGGGGTTTGGGGAGCCGGGGGGGTCCCGTCCAGAAGAGGGAAAGAGAGAAAGAGGAGTTGAAGGACTTCTTGAAGGGGTCAAATGTGTGGCTGACAAGAACAGCGGAACAAACAAATGGTTTCAACGCACAATTCTGTCAAAAAGGGTAGAGGGAGGGGGAGAAGTGACCAGCCGAACTAGCTTAGAGAGATTGAATGCAGATGCAGAGCAGATGGTGAACCAGGTGGAGAACAATGGCACAGGCAGAGATGGAGTAGTAAGCAGGGGGAGGCTTCGTATGAACGGTACGGACGGAGTATTGGATAGGGATGTCAATGCCAGCCAATTGATCGCTTTTGGCCACAAGCTGCTGCAAGATGCACACATTCAAGCCAATACAAGACCGAGGAATTGATTGGCTGAAAGGTTGAGACGAAATGATGAGGCAAAGAATACTAGGTACCTTAAGTAGTAGAGGGGAGAGTGGGAATGATTGCTATTGTTGTGGTTGTTGTGGTTGTTGTGGAGAGTGGCTGCGGTGGGAAGACAAGACCAGATCCCCTGCCATAAACAAATTGACAGTCAAAATGAAAGTGTGTATACGTACTCGTAATCACTCAAGAGATTTCGATCAAGCATAAAGAATCAGGAAGAGACAGAGGGCCAAGAAGCGAGAAAGCGAGAGGAGAAGGAAAATAAGACATGGGCCAGATAAAGAGAGAGAGCAAGAGATTTGAGGGAACCGGAGAGTGGGTGTAAGAGTGGATGTGTGAGAGGGAGAGAGTATGGAATTGGTAAGAAAGAAAGCGGAGGGAAACACGAGCAGGCTGGAGTGTGGCTAGTACTGGGTCACAGTACTGAGGCTCGGGAGTTATTGGCCAGATCCAGTCAACCTTACGGGCAGCACCACCAATCCACCACTGGGCAATCTAAAAATACTCCTACCTCGAGCCTTAAGTCAGTACAGTACATACATGTAAGTTACCGCAAGTTCTTTACCGGGATACCTAAAGATATGAGTATATGACTACTAGACTGCACAAACAATCTGTGTAACAACTGTAGGTAGACGGTCTTCTAGATGGACAGGCCTTCACTCCATGGGGAATGGGGTGGGACGGTTGCTGAACAGTCTGACAGATACAGAGGAGTGGGAACGAGGCTGTGTTGGTTGAGACACTGGAAAATATCATCGTGGCTGGGCCGAAGGCTGCGAAGACCGCTGGGCTGACACCCGGTTTCTAGATTCCCAGTGGAGGGCCATTGGGTGGCTGTGCCCTCCGACCGCCTACCAATTTAGGCTCGAGCTGGGGGCGCCGGCGACTTACCCTGCTCAAGTGTACTGTACCACATCCTTCAGTGAATATCCTATGGAGTGTTCTGAAGAAGAGAGGTATCTCTGCAGCACTGCTCTTGCAGCACAGCACTTCTCTGTCAAAGTATTCTAGTGACAGTATTGATTTTCACCCCTGTTGTGATTCGTCGTGATGTGTATCTTATTCTGGGGGAGGGGGGGGGGAAGACAAAAACAATCTTGGAAGACAGAACAAGAAAAAATAGAAGAGAAAGAAAGTGGCGATGGATGAAGACGGGAAAGAGAGAATGAGGAGGAGGAGAAGTAGAAAATGAAAATGAAAATGAAAAGCAGGAGGACTTTAGGTATAAACGAACATCAATTACGGAGTTCTTCCATACATAGTATACTAGAAGGGGAAAGAAGAGGGAGTGGGCTCAGGTGACGATGTGATGGAAAAGGATTGACTTGCAGCTGTCACCTTACTTATAACTACAGTACTCCGCTCCGTACAGTAATAGTACTGCACATAACGAAGTCATTGATAGCAGAGAACTAATAGGTACCACGTGATGATCCTTTCCCCCTCTCCTAAGTAACGAGTCCTTGAACAAATTCCCCCGCTTCTCCGGTACTGTATATACTGATGAGTACCTGCTCTCGGGTTACAGATGGCCAGCGGTTCTACAGCTCATTTGATTGGCTGATTGTGGAAGATGGTCAACTTACACTGACTGCCAGGCACCTGGCACTGGCAGTGAGCATTTCAAGGTTTCAAAGTTGGCGCTCGGCACCAGCACAGTCGGGAAGCCCATCTGGCAGTCCATGGAGATCCCCAATTTGATTCGTTCTCCAGGTGATGGAACGTGCATCTGAAGTGACAGCCAGGGCTTCTTCATGGTCTTTGCTCGCGGCGAATCGCGTCCCCCGTCTCCACTGTGACAAGCCAGGTCGACTGCTCTAGTGGTTCAATTTGACTTCCTTGCTCATCCAATCACTTTTCGCCCTAGGTTGTGCTGCACCTTGCTGCACCTTGTCGGCGCTTAATTGCTCTCTTCACATACATCTAATCCATAATGCTATTGGGATGTCTCCCCACCCAAGGTATTGCTAGGACCTCTTCATTGATATTCAAAGCGATCATGCTGCCCAGGCCCGGCTTTCCCTACCTCTCCCCTCATCTTTCATAGTTCCTTTTGTATTCGTGTCTGACTGCCAGCCCAGCTTCAGGGCCCTCATCTTGTACTCGACCATTCATAAGCTCAAAATAATATCGAACAAACACGAGAAGGTGATTGGGAATTCGCACTACCTCCTTCCCGAAGAAAAGAATTGTTTTGATCTCTCGCCATCAAAACATATTTTCAATTTCGATGCTCCTTGTTGTATAACTTGCTCGATTGTTTCAAACCTTCAACCCTATTCAATCGTCTTTGCGACCCAAGGTTGAGAGCTGGCCTCTTCATACCTTGCTACATACGGCCTACTGCAAACCCATTCACAGATGTCTATGTCCGGAGAGAGCCAGAAAAGTTTGCCTCAAACTTATGAAGCCGTGTCCCCGATCGATATCGTTAGTGGCCGTAATACTGGCGCAATGTTCCCACCCAACGCCATTCAGGAGCGGAAGTCTTCTGAATCATCAACTTCTTCGCTTAAAGCTTGTCGTGTGACTCGTTTTGCAGAGGCAGAAACCATTCATTCTCCTGCGCACGCCGCAGATCTAGAACAGTCGCCATTCGCAGACCCACCTGAGGCCTTCCAAACTCTCCCCAATGTGTCCGACGTGGGTTTTGGATATGTCGCTGCGAGTGATCCGGCGCACCATGCCTCGCATCACGACGTCCCATCCCCGGGTCTAAAGAGCGCACTCAAAGTTCCTGGCACCCCAGGAAGAACCCTCAATCCATTGAGTCCGACCTTTCGGGAAGAGTTCTACGTGGAAAAGCAAGAAAAGGTCACCGAGAAGGAGAATGCTAGAGATCTTGTAAGTCAAAGCTGAAAACTAGCTGCCATGCTCGCTCTAGATGCTGATGAGGGCATGATTTAGCGCATCAAACTGCGTGTTCGCGTGGCCAAGGTTTTCCTCCGCTTCATCAACTTTGGATGCAGTCTGATCGTCCTGACGATACTGGGTACAACACTAACCGTCTTCCATGCGACCAAGTCGATTCCTGAGCGGAATACCTTCCCGCCATGGGAGACTGGTACAAATCCTTGGCCGCAATATCTGCTGCTGGGGGTTTCGTGTATCTCTTTGCTTGCCTGTCTCGCAGTATTCTGGGGCTACTGGAAAGGTGGTCACAAACGTGCGGAGAAGTTTGCCCTATACTATTCGTCAATCACAGTTGGCGTTTTTGTCTTTGATCTGGTGATGTGGATTGTGGCCGCCGCCATATTCCAGCACTCGAAGTCCAGTGGGAACAACAAAGATCTCTGGGGGTGGTCTTGTGTTCACAACGAACGAGAGCAGCTATTTCAAGACCAGATTGATTACGCGCTCCTTTGCCGCTTGCAGGTACGCTAACCTCATTCTCTCAGTTTTGTCTGGCTAACACAATCACACTGACAGGATTGGGGACTGGTCTGTGCCGTGATTGAGATCGTTTTGGAAATACTGGTGCTCCTGGTCTATGTGGTCGTTGCGTACCGTTTCTGGACCAAAAGAAAGCTGGCCAGGTCCATGGACCGCCGCGATCGCGCTAGAACAGATTTGTACATGGCCCAGCTCCGACAGTCCGCGCCGAACACTCCTAGGTTTCCTCATACGCCTAAGGCGCCTATTGTATCAACTGGCATGCCCCAAGACACCTTCCCGCAAGATCCCTACTCCGCAGCAGAGAATGGAGAGGTATATGCTACTCAGTTTGCCTACCAGCCAACCGAGACCAAATCCCGAGCACCTTTCCAACTCATGCCTCCGCCCATCCGGGTTCAGCATGCGACCCCTCAGCCAGCTCAAGAAGAGTTCCATGCACCTGCTCTGATCCCTACTACTTCAAGTCATCACATGACGGCGGCACCCGGCGAACCTACCTACGAGAATGTACCTATCCCCGAGGCATACAAGAGCCCCATGAGCCCTGGATTTCCCCGGGGGTGAGTTCGATAGTTGGAGATAATCATGACGGAAAAAGGATGGAATGGAACCCACACGTGTCTGCCTTGAACACCAATTATGCTGAATACTAGGTCTGGGAAGCTTTGCTGGACGCCCCGGTTGTGATCGAGCATAAGCCTGCCCTTACTTCCCCTCTTCACCCAGCACCTCCCAATACTTCCATATCCTAGATAGTCGATTTTGTGGAGAGATCTGTGCGCACCTCTCCCCCCGACTCCCTTGTTGGTCTCAACTGCCGCTTCCTTTCGAGCCGATCTACTACAATCGTTTCTGATTCTTTGTTGATACGTAATTTGAATTGATACCACGTTCGCATGTACCTACAGTGTCTCACTTCATAGCTCTGTGTTATTGGAATTGCAAATGTCTAATCACTGTGAAGCAGCATTGCTGCATTCAGAGCCTTAGAGACAGATGTTGGAAGTACTTCAAGCCGACGAACTCAGTAAGGAGTATGTGACACCTGATTGAAAGGGCAAGCAAGCATCATCAACAATTATGTCAATATTATGGTAGGTGAAGAGGGAATATGTAAGTGTCCATCCCGGCATTGCCTAAACTATTTGACATTTGAAACAAGGAAGACAATAAAACGCAGCCAATAAAGACAGCCGCGAGATGTAAGCTGATTTTCTCATTGAAAATTGCACTGCAAAAACAGCATACCGGTAGAGACAGCCAAGAAAGCCACACCTGCCCATTTCCTAACGAAAGAATCCCCAATCCAGAGCGCCTATGCCCACGAGACCCAAGCATGTCACAGAAATGATCAGCATTACCTCATATCGCGGTGATCGGCCTTGTGCATGTGGTAGCACTACCGATCACACTCTCCATTCATGCATTGCCCTCGTCGAGGATCGCGTTTGCATCTTTAGTAACGAAGATCTCTTCCAACCTTCCAGCACCAAGGCTGCTAGGACCATCATCGTTCTGCAAAACTAAACCCTGTTCATTAGCCAAATGGAGCAGGCAGATGAAACCAAAGGACGTGCTAATGTCGCGTAGCTTCTCCGGGGCGTAAACCGTTTTCAGTGAGTTCATGATTTGTGTGAATCGAAGCGTACTGTCCGCAGAAACATCCTCTCGGCCTTTATCCAATGGTGTAGACGTTGGGATCGGCTGCGTCTCGGTCTCGGGGTGTTGAGGCGTAGCTTCCTCGGTGACATGAGGTACGGTATCTGCCTCACGAGGCGTATCAAACGAGGATGTTGTTATCAGCCGCTCTCCCATGCCCCTCCACATTTCCTGCTTTAACCGACGCACATCAACTTTTTTAGCCACTCGAGCATAAGCGACATATTCGGGACGCGCCCGACGACCGCCTTGCGTTACTAGTTGAGATCCAAATCCTCCAGCACCAACTGGCAATGTGGAGCCAGGGGCTGACCCCATCATGTTAAGGAGTGCGGGAAGGCCTGACGTTCCCGCAGATTCTCCTACAGATGCACCTGGACCTCCATCCGCGGGCGGGGAAAGCATTTCTCTAGCATCAGCGAATGGGAGGTTTTCGTCATCGTCATCGTCGAAACCGTTCGGGAATGCAAGGCCATCATCATCCGCGAAGAAGTTGGCGTCATATGCCCCTGGAACACCCTCATCGGAAGCGGCAACATCCTCCGGTTTGTGATTTGCCCAAAATGCCTCGTCCATCTCCCCATTGCCCGCGGTTTGATCAGGTCGCCGGTGGTTAAATCGCTTTGAACCCGTGAATCTCTTGGATCCCAATCTCGCTTTTGGCTTGAGAAAGAGGCGAAGCAATTGTTGTGAATTGAAGTGCTTGTCGTCCGGAAGAAGGTTACGACCCTTTGTTTTCCATTGTGTTTTAGGCAGAGAAATTGTGGAATTCGAGCTGGCGGGCATATAGATTAGTTCCCCGATAGTAGTATCAAGCGGTGTAGAGAAATCAATCTCGAAAGGTTCCTTTTCCCTACGTTGCTTCGGCGCAACGTTGGCGTTGCTCGCAGCGGCATGCTCCTTAATCCGGCGAATCTTCCAATGCTCTGGCCCTGCCCAGTTCTTCTGTAGGGCATTGTCGAAGTAGCTGAGAATATTTTCATGATCCCTGTTATCTTGCTGGTGTGTCAAAGAGATACCATAGACATCCCCATCATCGCGATCCATATCTTCGCCATCTGCATCATCCTCGCCTTCTCGATCAACACGATGCACTTTCAGCATGGGCTCCAAAGCAGCTTCACGGGCCCAGACCTCACCTCCCTCGCCAAAGCCAGCATCTCCGCCTAGATCGAAGCCAGCCAGCGTGGCATCGTCGTCGTCGTCGTCGAACCCGACTGCATTGTCATCATCCAGCATGATACCGGACGCGTCACTCACGGGACCCGCCTCTTGGCCTCTCTCATGCCGCCAGTCGTCGGATGCCTTCAAGAAAGGGATGTCTAACGAGCCGCTTGGGTCGCCGAGATCAAAGTTCTTCAATGACGGGCAGATGTCCTGATTGTCCACGAGGTCCAAGTTTGGAAAAAACCGTTCCGCCAAGGGAGTCATATCTATCTCCATGCTGTCCTCAAACATGGTGTCCGCCGTTTTTCTGGCCGAAGACGGTGATGGTGGTGATTCTGGTTCCTGTGATTCCGCCTCCTGATCGTCTGCATCCTTTGAATTTGCTTCAGTTGCCGCGGCCGCATCATCACTGCTATCAAACACTATGCGACCCTGCCCATCAATAGATAGGTGATTCAAAAGTAGCCCTTTGGCACCACCTTCATCAAAATCAGCGGAGGCCTTCTTGAACAATGGGTCAACGGAGAATTCGAGCTCAAATTTTTTCAATTGGAGCGAGGAGAAGGATGGTGCTAGTGTAGCTTCATGTGATCGCTGTGCCTTCGCGAGGGTTAGCAACTGTCAAGAAGATTGCGAGTAAAGTTATGAGGGCAAACAGACCTTTCTCCTTGATTTTCGAACGGCACCTTCTTCTCCGTCCTCGTCGTCGTCTGCCCCATCTCCATCGCCGCCCTCAGCTCCGGTTTCGCGAGCTCTCTTGTCACGACTGTCGGCTAAGCCACTTAGTAGTTTTCCTGTCTCCGTCGCCACGCTATCTACTCTGCTCGTGTAGATCTTGACGCAACCATCCAGCGTGCAACTAGCCTTTTGAAAGTTGACACCATCGCCCTCTTTGAGTAATGACATATCATGGAAGTAGTCAATCAGTGCGAAATTCCAGGAGTTGTTAGCATTGATTTTGTTGTCGGTGGCCATTTTCATCCATTCTTCAAAGTTGGCCAAGATTGGTACGCGCTTCATTGGTGTCACTGCCCTGCGTCCACCCACATCACTTTCTCGCCCTCGATACCCCGAGCCTCGAGGGGTGGCGGGGCTCATGCTAGCACTCTGACCGTATCCAGTATATCGTCGAGGCGGCATAGGCGTCTTGACAGCAGCCTTGATTTGGTCCATGTGGCGGTCATGTCTAGCTTGGCGCGCCTCCATGCGCGCTGCTTTCTCTCCCATGTCGTCGTTGAGTGGTATCCTAAGACTGTCCGTCAGTACTTCCCACCAAGATAGTTACGGAGCCGTGCAAACCTCATGGGAGAGTTCTTGAGAGGGGTAGATGCGCCACCATTGGAGCGACGGTGCTTAGAATTAGCCACGCGCGGCATTGTGCAGAGGGTGTCTCCGTTGGTGGGGGAGGGGATTGTAAAGGAACGGCGGAAATCGAATGAGTATAGAGCCCTACGGGAGCCGATTCCGAGTTAAGAGTCAGACGAGCCAAATAGTCGGCATCAGGTACCATGAGGCCGTAGGAAACGGTGTGTGGTGGTGTGTGGTGGTGTGCGGTGATTATCGTTTTGACCCAGTCAGCCCTCCATCTGGGACGAAACAAACAATCAACAAAACATCCGCCCCGCCACAGTAACCACTACCGCAATCTCCCCGCTCGCTGAGTCAGCTTGAGTGTGGTTAGTTAACTAGTTAGTTAGCTAGCTTAGTTAACTTACCAGATAGTACAATACTAGCTAACTTAGCTATAACTAGTCAGGCTGTAACTAAGTGGTAAGATAGGTACACATACTGTACTGTACTGTATAAAGAAGATACTTAATAATCATATCTGCACCGCCTCCTGCCGTGACATCAGTGGCTGGTGCTCCCTATACGTAGTCAACCTTACTTAACTTAACTACTTACTGGTCTTTCCTCGATGGTCGTCTGTCTATCATCGGTCTGTCTGTCTAAACTATCCGTCCTCCACCTGCTCTTCCCCCCTTCTCTGTCTACCTCCTTCATTCAATCTTCGGCCGGTTCATCTGCGCGACACCAACACCCTCTGTCTCCATCTTTCAGACCCTCAGCACTTTGTTCGTCGCTTCCTCTTTGCCGCAGCTGGATGGTGCTCACTCTGTTTCGCACCAGCCACGTGCTTATCCGGGTGTGTGGATCGTGACGGCCTATCGCCCAGGATGCCGCGATATCTCTCAAAATGCTATCAAGACTGATTTCTCGCCACAACCGAATCTCTCGGCAAAGGCGCTTCTCTGTTCGGCCATTTTTCTGGTCCATCATACTTCTGACGTTTCTTGGTCTCTCCAGTTGGACTTTGCAACGGCTCACGCATGAACCTGCCGTTCCCGACCTATGGCTGCTTCGCCAGCGCGACAACACACTGGAGGTACGTATCTCTTCTCAAGTCTCGGGTAATAGTCTGGATGAAGTACGGGGCTCTGACTTCCTTTACGCTCTATACAGTGTCGCTTAGTCCGTCAAGCCCATGACCAGTGCTCTTTCATTAGGACAAACTGCCCTGATGATCAAGATGGACTCATATCCTACCTTGAGCTCTATTATTGCACCTTAGCGAATGCGAAGCCTTTGGCGCTCATAGTCATCATATCATGGCTCTCCCTATTGTTCAGTACTATTGGGATTGCTGCTAGTGATTTCCTCTGCATCGATCTGAGCACACTGGCCAGTGTTCTCGGGTTGAGTGAAAGCCTCACAGGCGTCACCTTCCTTGCCTTTGG